GACAAAAAAGGTAAACAAACAGTACATGAGATCGGTCAGCTAATACTTGATATTCCTAATCCTGATAATCTACCAAGGGAGGAGAGAGGATTTGACGTATTTATGGATTTCAGTGGTACAGAGATACAAGCAAGAGCTCAGTATCGTATCACAGGGGAAGAAGTGAAAACAGTTTGTGACTTTTTATCAAACCAAGACTAAGAATAATAAAGAAAACAAAAGAATAGTACATGTAATGTAATACTAACTAACAATGACTAAAGTTTTAATTACAATAAATGGAGTAACTTTCTTGTGCAATTAGTTTTGAAAATTTTTTTTGACTTTTTTGATGTGCAACACGTAATCCTAATACATGTACTTGCACATTTATAAAACTAATTAATTACAATAACTAATTAACTAGACTTTTGTCAAAAACCAGATATTGCCAAGTTCAATTGGCCTTTCACCACTTACTACAGGCTTTCTGAGATTTTTGTCACAACCACCAGTGCGTCCCTCCATCTTGCCTTGCGACAAGTTTCAGACTGCCCATGATTAGATCACTTGGTTTCAGGTCATATTTGACTTGTGCCTCACCTGGCTTGCTTTTGCTACACCTCTGTCCATCAACTTAAGTTTGCAAAATATTTTCTTGCGGACCCATTATCTATCACTAGTTATGACTTACAGAATTTGTCCAGTTTACTATTATCTAGGACAAGTTGAACCAGGTCAGTCAGTGGTCTGTCTATTATCCCAGTAACAATAATTGTGAATATTATATGAATCTAAAGGAATAAACTAATAGTAAGTACACATTTAGCATCAAAAATAATTTTACTAAATAAATAAAGTAATTTCAGTACTTGATACAATTGAGATATTTCTGAAACATTTTTGGAAATAAAGTGTGAGCTATATAACACAGGGTATTTTTTAGAAATTGGCATATTTTTTTAAAATGGCCGCAACTCAAAAAGTTTTTGTCGGAATCAGCTCAAACTTTTTACACAGTATAAGGACATCAATATGTATCAGAAAATGTAAAAAAACTGGGGGTGATTTTGGAACCATTTTTTGAAAAAAACCATGGGCCTTGGGTATTGAAAATTGGCCATTTAAAAAAATGCTCATAACTTAAAAATTTAATATCGGAATTAGTTCTAACTTTCTATGCAGCATGAGGACATCAATAAATATTAATAATTGTGAAATGTTTTTCTGATATACATGTACCTCTGATACTAATTTCATGTCTACAATGAGAAATCAATAATTTCCAAGTATCTCCAGTCCATAGTTAAATCACATGCATGGTCACATGAACTGTGATTGACAATCAGGTATGAGCACATATCACGGTTGATACATTCCTAACACATTGATCTGTACTGTGAGTCATGATCACTGTAAAGGAATAGAACCAGGTTTATAATTATTATGTTCATATTATTTATTATTAATGTGCACATATCAGAAACTACACTTAATAATGTAGTTTTTATTTTAGGATTTTTGAGCACTATTTGTTACATGCATGGCAATTAGTAAATTGCAGTTGTAGTGAGTAAAATTTGTACTTGCAATGATATCATATAAGTTGTCTAATCATAACAACACTAAAAGCAAGAAAACTGTAAAAGCAAAAATACACAATTTGGAAAACATTAGCTAGCAGTTTGGGGATTAAGTTGAGTGTTAAAAACAAACTATAGTATATCTAATAAAAATCTTTGGCCATTTAAATCCACAATATGCTGTACAGAGTGATG